CCTACTCCAACCAGGCTTTCCTCTCATGGGAAGGTCTCCCCTGCTGCAGCCCTCCGATCCCCTGCCCTTCTCATCCATGCTCTTCCCTGGGTAAACATCCCTCTTCTGCCATCCAGCTCATGCAACCAGGTGCAGAGGTGAAGATGAGGGCAGTGCATCTCTGGATTTTTATTTTAAAGCCACAGATTCCTAGGAGAGGCGCCAATTGAGCTCCAAATGTCCATAAACATGCATTTATTTATTTAATATTGGTTGGTTTGTTTATTTTGCAAGAGGAATAGAGCTTTTTCTTTTTCCAAGAGGGAACCCGGCTGTCCTCAATTTGTTTTCCCTGACCAGATATTCTGGTTACAGAGGTAGTACATCTCCAAGAGAAGAAGAGGAGGTACCGTGGACGGAAAGGATGAGTAGGGACTGCCCTCTCTGGCGTGTTGAAACGCGAAGAGTTCTTCTCTTTGCGTTCTTTACACACGGAATTAGAAATTGAGCCACGCTCCTATCCAATGATGGTTGTGGTTTTTGAGACCTTAAAGGTGTTTGTGCTGATCTTTCTAGGGGCATGGGAAAGATTTAACCCCGGAGAAATTATTTGAATGGTGGCTTTTGAGGCCAAAGCTTGGCTGATGACTGATAGTGGAAGAAAGGAGAAGGCAAAGGTAAGGAGGATAAGAGGCTTAAAAAAAAAGATGAAATCGTGGCTACTGGATCAAAGTTTACGAGTTGCCACGATTTCACCTTTTTAGATACTTTTGGCCTGGATGATCGAGTCTTCATTTATATGTGTGTGTCTGTGTGGGTAGAGGTTGTTCAGAAGGCTATTCTGTTGGATCGTAATAGCAAAATGATACATTTCTGATTTCCCAAACTTGTCAGGATCTGAGAAATTAACAAAAACGTTTTGGGGGTTTATTTTAAGATGAATCATTTGGGAGTCTTTAAAAAGGTGCACAATTAGCAGTTATTTTGACACAGGCAACTATGAAATCAGAGCATGTGCAATTCACCTGTCGCATGCAGGTGTTAGTTGCAGATCCCTGGTTCGCTTTGTGTGTTTGATAGCATTCAAACTATGTTTTATTATTTGTAATAAATATTTTTAGGAGGGTTTTTTTTTTGTCAACCATAATTAGTCTACCATATTAAGGATACAATGAGTTACAAGTAACTGATCTT